TGGATTCCTCTTTCTGCTGCTACTCCTGGCTCCTTATTCTTACTGCAGTCTCTCAGCCACACACTCCCCTTATCTTAGGATATAGGTAATATCGAACACCTAGCCGTGTCGGAAAAGAGTGAAACAAATCTTGGAGGTCCCGTGTGTGCGTTGTGCACGTTAAAGATCCCTTGGTGGTCCAAAAATCGAAAAGACTAGGCTTTCGGCCTTCACTCATGCAGAATTCAAAATTAATTCTTTCCGAAAAAAAATGAAAATTGTAAAATGTGTCTCGTACGCTCATATGACCTAATGCAGTTGCGAGCCCCGTAAAGCACTGCTTTAAATTTAAACAAGCAAAAAATTTATTTTCTTCCTCTTTTAAGGGGAAGGAACAATGACATTTTCACAGTTTACATAAAAGTATCATGCTTGTCTCCCTTGATTGAATTAATAATTTTGTGTGCGTGTGTATTTCGTCGGTGTTATTCCCGAACCGGCTACATACAAATTTTTCAACGCTTGTTTTATTTGCTTAATGAGTAGTAAATAGCACGATACGTGTCGAGTATTTACCTAGCTCTGTGATTATTTGATTCCGCTTAAATCTAGTCATTATTCGAGACCACTTTCTGGATAATGCAATCTTACTATGCTCTAAACTAGATACTTCACTACCGGTTCAGAATTTTCAGTCAATATTCGAAAGTTCCCTTAACCAATCAATAATCGATGCGTCTATTGTCCTGTCATATTTCGATACTTTTAGCTTGACATTAGTTGATAGTTTTCATGTCAGATCTCATTTTCATGACATCGAATTAAATTAATCGTATTGCTAATTGTTATTTTAACCTCAATTTCTTTTCATGAATTTGAATGAGGTAAAGTAAAGATCTTCCTACCTTTCGTACTCATCTGTAAAATAACGCCATTTTGTTTATACAGTCAATGTGCAGACATTTAAATTGTACTATGGTTTTGCTTAGACTAAATCCACTTATAATTTATTGTTTCATAATAAAAATAAATAATTAATGCTTCCTAAGGCATACAAATAATCGCAGCATTTCCCATATTTCGAAAAAAAAACCTCCTTGCTTGTTTTGGTTTTTATTTTCTGTTGTTCTGTTCATTGTTGTATAGTGACACCTTTTTAGGTGATTGTCTCCCTTACCCAAACATTTAAGGGTTGCTGTCTGTCGATTAAGCACCTCATTGAATCTACTTCATGAACGAGGAGTCCTCTGGTATTGTGACTGGGTGTTCTGCCTTCAAAATCAATTATGCTTGGTCCCGTAAGTCATCCTACATTTCAGTTGAGAAGCGATACGGTATTGTGGAAAAAATGTATAGGCCTTTACGAGCGGTTAATCTGACTCGTGAAGCAAGGGCTGGAGATGAAGGGAAATAACGGAGGAAAAGGCTCGACCACCACAAGTACAAAAACAAGAACGCCCAAACCTCCAGCTCAACATGGTCTGTTTCTTTGCTTTTGTGCTTTGTTTGTTTTTGGTTTGTTTTTGTAGTGGGTTGTTTTTTTTTTGCTGTCGTTTCTTTGTTTTTTGTTTGATGCATTTTTCTGGGTTTTTTCTTCTATTTTTACTTTTTTTGGCAAGTTTTAACTACCCTCGCAACTGCATAATGTCATAAGCTGTTAGATCTTACCTATCCTAAGATCAGGGGTGTGGTTGAAAGACAGCAGAAAGAAGGGGCCAATGAGTAGCAGTAGAAAGGCTGCAGAAACAGTTAAGGGCCCGGAGGAGGGGGCAAAAGGGGTCGAGTCTGTCGCAGCCAGGTATCGAAACCGGGACCTATTGAATGAGAGGCGAACATCGAACCTCCAGACCACGAGAGCACCCGATGGTGGTAGTTGTGCTACAGAGACGGAAAGATAGAGAGAGAGAGAGAGAGAGAGAGAGAGAGAGAGAGAGAGAGACAGAGAGAGAGAGAGAGAGAGAGAGAGGCAGAGAGAGAGAAAGCAGCAGAGATTAGGCTGGAGAGACGGAGAGTTCCCACGTAATAATAAATGGAATACTTGGATAAAGACTTCAGGTTCCATAAATCTTTGTAAAGTATTCTCTCAAAAGCCATTTCCTCAGTTATTTCCCTTCATGTCCAGCCCTTGCTCCACGAGCCCCATTAACCGATTGTTTGGCCTAAAAACATATTTATAACACAACATTACCTCACAAGTAAAACGTTTAAGACTTAAAGGAAACAAAACACAGTTGATTTTGAAGGTAGAACTCTCAGTCACAATACTAGAGGGGTCCTCTTTTATGAAGTAGGTAACAGCAACCCGAAATAACTGCTTGAGTAAGGGAGACAGTTAAATTTTAAATTCTTGTTAAACAACAGTAAACAGAAAAACAGAAACGCTGCTTTAATAAGTGAAAGACAAATCTAGCAAAACTTTAAAATGTCAAAATATTAGGAAATGTTACGAACCTTAGTAAGCCCTAAAAAAGCACATTTTTCAAAATGAACAAAATGACATAGTAGAAAATATTCTAAGCAAAACTATAAAATAGTATAATTGTTAGTACATCGACTATATAAACAAATCGAGATTCTTGGTAAAAAGAATATGACATGTTAGGTGGTCTCTTGCTACTTCACTTGTCGTCTATGGCACCATCCTGCTAGTTCATTAATTTGGGTGATGATTTTAAAATATCAATCAACCTGAAGTTCACACGGTTAGTATTGAATGATAACAGCGAAAGAATGTGACTATATTATGTTCATAGCGAATAATGCCAGGGAGTTATATAATACTGAACACATGTGAAATAATTGTCCTAATAATCACGCATGCGGCTGGTATAGGAATCTTTGATCTTAAAAGGTGATAACTATGACCGTACAGTTATAAA